TGCTAACCTTATTTTCCAGAAATTAAGCACTGGAATTCCTATACTTTCATGTACATACAAATATGAACATATATGCATAAATGGAGTCCTTGCTGTTCTTTTGTCTTGTGTTTTTTCAGGTGAGCATTTTTTAAAAAATAATTTTTTTAGTTGTTGATGGACCTTTATTCTATTTAATTTATATGCGGTACTGAGAATCGAACCCAGTGCCTCACACATGTTAAGCCAGTGCTCTACCACTGAGTCACCATCCCAGCCCAACGTGAGCATTTCGTTCTGTTTTTTCTCTCTCCCATCCCCCGCCTGCCCCACTTCTCCTCCTTTTTTTTTTTTTTTCTTGATTTTTGTTTGTTTATTTATTTATTTTTGTGTGTGAGATACTGGGAATTGATCCCATTGGTACTTTACCAATGAGCACATTCCCATTCCCATTCCCAGACCCTTCTAAAAGTTGTAAAATTTTAAAACAGGGTCTTGCTAAGTTGCAGAGCTTGACCTCAAACTTGTAATGCTCTTGCCTTAGCCTCCCAAGTTGCTGAGATTATAGACATGGGCCACTGCAGCTGGCTCCTGTGGCATTTTTCTGTCAATGATGCATATAGCAATTGTAGATATGCACCGATGCATTTAATTTTCTACTGTATGTCTGGACCACAGTTTAGTTAATAATAGTTTTTTTGGTGGTTGTATATATTATTTCTTGTTTATCAAAGCAATGAACAACTGTTCAAACAAATCTTTTTCTTCATAAAAATATCACACTGTACTGTGAGAATACTTATAGAGAATAACTACAGAATAACTTCCCAGTCTGAGATAAGTTGTATTAAAAATAACATATTTTAATTTTTAAAAGATCTTGCCAAACTTTCTACTACACATTTTATACCAAGTTACACTTCTCCTAATAATGTATGTGGTTATCTGAAATTTTCCATGTTCTTATTAATGCTAAGTAAAATCAATAGTTGGCTAATTTGATATCTGGGGGGAAAAAGTCTCCCTAAATCTGGTTCTTTAAAGTTCCACTTTCTTCCCAAATAATCTATTTATGTTTTTTTCTAAAGAGTGAAACTTGTAAGTAAGAATAAAAAAATATATAACACATAGGTTTTACAGAAAACATGTAGATTTTTACAGATAGCCTCTTGGTATAAATTTCCCTAAAACAAAACATTCGACCCTTTTTGCTTCTAGTTTGGATTAACTTTTAGCAATGGAGTTGGAAAACAGTTTAATAAATAAATTTGATTTGGATGTCAATTGCTAATAACTACTTGGTGATGCCACTCTTTCCACAGAAGTGTTTAAATACATGAGATTTGGTGAATTTTGCTTAACATTTCAGGCCAGTAGGAGTCAGGAGAGGGATATGTAGGGAGAAGAGATAGTTCTAGGGGTCCTGCCCCTGAGGTTGACTTAACCATTGTGAAAGGACAGTATTTAACTTGATAAATTCCAGATATGGCCAATCACTCTTCTCTTTTTCTTTTTAAAAAGTAATTACTAAAATCTATTATCCTGGAATGCCAAAGACAAGAAGTTTAGAAAAAAGGCTGGAAAGTGAAATGCTAAGGAATGAAAAATGCATTTGAAGTAGAGTTCAAGTCCAGGAGGGAGGGGAGACAGGGAATGGCCTGCTACTGGAGAGAGAGCCAAGGAACATAATTAATCTATAAGCAGCTTTGAGGTATTTGTTGGGTTGCACTTGAAATACCTTTGGGGTTCCTGAGACCTTTGAAATGGCTTGGAATTGTTTAACTCTCACATCACCCTGCTTAAAGAACAATCGACAGGATTTCTCTTTTGACCAAGACTTATAAATTTACCTTTAATTTTTATGAAAAAATACCAATGTCTAAAGCATAATGAATGCAAAATGGGAAAAACTTGGCAGTTTAAAGGGAAGACTAAAACAGAACTCTGATGGTAGCAGTCAGGATTAGACCTGGTACCGGTACTACCTCCTGGCTCCCAAGTCCCACCCCTGGCTAAAGTGTGTTCATCTAAGGATTTGTTTCCATGATGGCATGACTATTAAAAAAGAGTCACTGATTTGGTTAACTAATTGAGGGGAAAAAAGTGTTGCTTGATATAATTGGTGGGTCTAAAGAGTTAACTAAAGCAAATTTGGAAGATGTGGATGGGAAGATATATTGAAAATACAGTTGCTGTCTTTCCAATTGTATACCAAAGAATTTTGGGAAAATGCTGGGCATGATGGTACACCCCTGTAACCCCAGCTACTCGGGAGGCTGAAGGAGGAGAATCACAAATTCACGAGCCAGGCTGAGTAACTTAGTGAGACTCTATATCAAAATAAAGTAAAAAGGACTAGGGGGTGCAGCTCTATGGTAGAACACTTGCCTAGCAGGTTCCACCCCTTTGAGTGGCATTCTGCAAGTCACTGAGCATAAAAATAAAGAATTCTGGGAAGATTGATCAAATTGGGTCTAGAGGATACTCAGATGGCACTGACAGACTTCAAACACCCCTTCTGGTGCCTACACTACAACCCAGACTGGTAGGGTTTTCTGGCATATATACCTTTTTTTACTGGAAGAAAATCATTCCTTCCATCTGTTCTTATTACAATCTGTAGCGCTAATGACCATTGACCAGCAATGACTTTTAGAATGACCTGTGTGAGTTTTATCTGAAACCACTTGAAATTCTCATCTTCAAAGTCCTTCAGTCTCTTAATATGTGCACACTGTAGTTTGTTGAGGTTTAAAGAGCTCTGTGGTTTTTTTTTGTTTCTAATGTAGACACAGCCTTATAATTTACAGCAGCATTCACTAATTAAAACTGTAAGCATAATTACTATCCATGATACTTATTATTAGTTTGCATCCATAAAGCTCAAAATTCACTTCATCCTTTCAAGTAGTGAATAATTAGTTTCTCTGGGTTTGTAGCTTTATCATCCCTTTATGACCTGTTTGGAAGAAATAAACAACCAATCTCCCGGAAGACTGCTTTAAAAAGCTAGAAATATATTGTCCAGCTAGTGCAATGAGGCTAATACAATGTGGAAAATATTGCTTTTCTTTGGTTTTAGTAGCCAGTTTATCTTTGCATTTATTCACAAATAAATGTTGAGTACCTAATGTGCACCAGGAACCTTGGGGAGACAAAGATGAACCACTCACAGATTCTATCTAGAAAGACACAGAAAGACATATGTTTTTGTGGAAAGGAAATTAAATTTTACTTGTATACACAGTACTTAAAATCACACACACACACACACACACATACACACACACACATACATGAGTACACACACATGCACAAGGTATAAATGTCCCTGAGCACTGTCAGAACAGGGAATATTTGCTGTATGACTAACACCAAACACAATATATTAAAATGTGAGAATTAATAAATAACTTGGAAAGGCAGAACAAATGAATCTTTTTTTAAGCATATGAATCAACATTATTTATTCAATTTCTTTTTTTATCTTTCCACATTTTTTATTGGTACATTGTAGTTGCACATAGTGATGGAATTTGTTGTTACATATTTGCTCATGCACAAAACATAACTATATAACTTGGCCAATATCACTCCCCAGCCCTTCCCCCTTCCTCTCCTTCTCCCAACCTGGTCCCTTTCCTCTACTTGGATGGTCTCCCTTTATTTTCATGAGAATACCTCCCCACCTTTATTTTCCTTTTTCTTCTTCAGTTTCCCCTTATGAGAGAAAACACACAAACTTTGACTTTCTGAGTTTGGCTTATTTCACTTAACATAATGGTCTCTAGTTACATCCATTTTCCTACAAATAATATAATTTTTAAATTTTTCTTTGTGTCTGAATAAAACTCCATTGAGCGTATATACCACATTTTCTTCATCCATTCATTGATATACCTGTAGGCTGGTTCCATAGTTTGGCTACTGTGAATGGTGCTGCTATAAACATGGGTGTGCATGTGTCACTGAAGTAAGATGACTTTTGGATAAATTCCAAGGAGTTGTATAGCTGAGTCATATGATTGTTCTATGCCTGGTCTCTGTACTGATTTTTATGGTGGTTGCACTAATTTACAATCCCACCAACAGTGTTAAAATGTTCCTTTCACCCCCACATCCTCTCCAGCATTTATTATTTGTATGCTTGATGACTTGTCTTTCTGACTGGTGTGAGATGAAATCTCAGTGTAATTTTGATTTGTATTTCCCAAGTTTTTAATGATGTTGAAAATTTTTTCATGTATTTCTTGTCCATTGGTATTTCTTCTTTTGAGAAGTGTCTGTTTAATTCTTTTGCCCATTTATGAATTGGGTTATTTGGGAGGTTTTTTTTTTTGGTGTTAAGTTCTCTTTTTCAGTTTTTATATATTCTAGATATTAATCCTCTGTCGGAAGAGTAACTAGCAGAGATTTTCTCCCATTCTGTGGGTTCTTTCTTCCCATTCCTAAATATTCCCGTTGCTGTGCAGACGCTGGTTAATTTGGTGTCATCCAGTTTATTCAGTCTTGGCATTGTTTCCTGAGCTTTAGGGGCCCTATTGAGAAAGTCAGTGCCTTCGACACTCATATGTTGGAGTGTTGACCCTATGTTTTCTACTAGGATTTGCACAGTTTCAGGTCTAATTTATATTTCTTTGATTGACTTTGAGTTAATTTTTATGCAGGGTGAGAGATAAGGGTGTAGTTTCATTCCATGTATATATAGCCAGTTTTCCCAGGAGCATTTGTTTAAAAGACTGTCTTTGTTCCAATGTGTGTGTGGTTTTGGCACCTTTATCAAGGATCTCAGAGCTGTAAGCATGTGGGTTTGTCTCTGTGTCTTCCATTCTGTACTGTTGTCTGTGTATCTGTTTTCCTGTCAGTACATACAGTTTTTGTTATATAAGGTAGGGTGATGCCGACGAGTCCTTGAGTGCATCGATTTCTATTATTTCCAAGATATATCAATGGAATATTGACTTCTTTTTTTTCTAATCTGACCTTTTTTTTTTTTTTTTTTTTTTTTTTGCTGTCCCCAGGTACATCAGCTAAGCATGGCTGTCTCCTTGCCGCCCACCTTGGGAATCAGTTCTGCACCCGATGAAATTCAACACCCACATATGAAGTTTTCAGAGTGGAAATTTAAGCTGTTCAGGGTGAGATCCTTTGAAAAGACAACTGATGAAACTCCAAAGGATAAAAAGGATTCCTTGGAGGGAAAACCTTCTCTGGAGCAATCCCCAGCAGTCCTGGACAAGTCTGGTGGCCCAAAGCCAGTCCTGACTCAACCAGCTCTGAAGGGCCATCCTAAGTTTTCAAAGAAATCCCACGACAGTGGGAAAGCAAGAGACCAAGCAGTTCACCAAGCCAACCTTCGACACTTCTGCCGCATCTGTGGGAATTCTTTCAAAACCGATGAGCACGACAGGAGATACCCAGTCCATGGGCCTGTGGATGCTAAAACCCAAGTCCTCTTACGAAAGAAGGAGAAGAGAGTCACTTCCTGGCCAGACCTCATCGCCAGGGTTTTCCGAATCGACGTGAAGGCAGATGTTGACTCGATCCACCCCACCCAGTTCTGCCAGAACTGCTGGGGCATTATGCACAGGAAGTTCAGCAGCGCCCCACGTGAGGTTTACTTCCCAAGGAATGCCACCATGGAGTGGCATCCCCACACACCATCCTGCGACATCTGCCACACTGCCCGTGGGGGCCTCAAGAGGAAGAGCCATCCGCCAAACCTGCAGCTCAGCAAAAAACTCAAAACTGTGCTGGACCACGCGAGACAAGCCCGTCGGCGCAAGAGAAGAGCTCAGGCAAGGATCAGTAGCAAAGAGGTCATGAAGAAGATCACCAACTGCAATCAGATCCATCTGAGTACCAGGCTCCTGGCCGTGGACTTCCCAGCACACTTTGTGAAATCCATCTCCTGCCAGATTTGTGAGCACATTCTGGCCGACCCTGTGGAGACCAGCTGTAAGCACGTGTTTTGCAGGATCTGCATTCTCAGATGCCTCAAAGTCATGGGCAGCTATTGCCCCTCTTGCCGATATCCGTGCTTCCCCACCGACCTGGAGAGTCCAGTGAAGTCCTTCCTGAGCATCTTGAATTCCCTGGTGGTGAAGTGCCCAGCAGAAGAGTGCAATGAAGAGATCAGCTTGGAAAAATATAATCACCATGTCTCAAGCCACAAGGAATCCAAAGAGACTTTTGTGCATATTAATAAAGGAGGCAGACCCCGTCAACATCTTCTGTCACTCACTCGAAGAGCTCAGAAGCACCGGCTGAGGGAGCTGAAGATGCAAGTCAAGGCTTTCGCTGACAAAGAAGAAGGTGGAGATGTGAAGTCTGTGTGCCTGACTTTATTCCTGCTGGCTCTGAGGGCAAGAAATGAGCACAGACAAGCCGATGAGCTGGAGGCCATCATGCAGGGTCGGGGCTCTGATCTGCCGCCTGCTGTTTGCTTGGCCATTCGTGTCAACACCTTCCTCAGCTGCAGTCAGTACCACAAGATGTACAGGACTGTGAAAGCCATCACAGGGAGGCAGATTTTTCAGCCTCTGCATGCCCTTCGCAATGCAGAGAAGATCCTTCTGCCAGGCTACCACCCCTTTGAGTGGCAGCCACCTCTGAAGAATGTGTCTTCAAACACCGATGTTGGCATTATCGATGGGCTGTCTGGACTTTCCTCCTCGGTGGATGATTACCCAGTAGACACCATTGCAAAGAGGTTCCGCTACGATGCAGCTTTGGTGTCTGCCTTGATGGACATGGAGGAAGACATCCTGGAAGGCATGAGATCCCAAGACCTTGATGACTACCTGAATGGTCCCTTCACCGTTGTGGTAAAGGAGTCCTGTGATGGCATGGGAGATGTGAGCGAAAAGCATGGGAGTGGGCCAGCGGTTCCGGAAAAAGCAGTTCGTTTTTCATTCACCCTCATGAAAATTTCAATAGCACATGGCGCCCAGAACGTGAAGGTGTTTGAAGAGGCCAAACCTAACTCTGAACTGTGTTGCAAGCCTCTGTGCCTCATGCTGGCAGATGAGTCTGACCACGAGACCCTGACTGCCATTCTGAGCCCTCTGATTGCCGAGAGGGAAGCCATGAAGAGCAGCCAACTGATGCTGGAGATGGGAGGCATCCTCAGGACCTTCAAGTTCATCTTCAGGGGAACTGGATACGATGAAAAACTTGTCCGGGAGGTGGAAGGCCTCGAGGCGTCTGGCTCAGTCTACATTTGTACGCTTTGCGATGCCACCCGCTTGGAAGCCTCTCAAAATCTTGTCTTCCACTCCATAACCAGAAGCCATGCCGAGAATCTGGAGCGCTACGAGGTCTGGCGCTCCAACCCGTACCACGAGTCGGTGGAAGAACTGCGGGATCGAGTGAAAGGGGTCTCTGCCAAGCCTTTCATTGAGACCGTCCCTTCCATCGATGCCCTCCACTGTGACATCGGCAATGCGGCTGAGTTCTACAAGATTTTCCAGCTGGAGATAGGAGAGGTATATAAAAACCCCAATGCCTCCAAGGAGGAAAGGAAAAGATGGCAGGCCACCCTGGACAAGCATCTCCGGAAGAAGATGAACCTCAAGCCAATCATGAGGATGAATGGCAACTTTGCCAGGAAGCTCATGACCAAAGAGACTGTGGAGGCAGTGTGTGAATTAATTCCTTCTGCAGAGAGGCACGAAGCTCTCAGGGAGCTGATGGACCTTTACCTGAAGATGAAACCCGTGTGGCGCTCCTCGTGCCCTGCTAAAGAGTGCCCAGAGTCCCTCTGCCAGTATAGCTTCAACTCACAGCGTTTTGCTGAGCTCCTCTCTAGCAAGTTCAAGTATAGATACGAGGGCAAAATCACCAACTATTTTCACAAAACCTTGGCGCATGTGCCTGAAATTATCGAGAGGGATGGCTCTATCGGGGCCTGGGCAAGTGAGGGAAATGAGTCTGGCAATAAACTCTTTAGGCGCTTCCGGAAAATGAATGCCAGGCAGTCCAAGTGCTATGAAATGGAAGACGTCCTGAAGCACCACTGGCTGTATACTTCCAAATACCTCCAGAAGTTTATGAACGCTCATAATGCATTAAAAAGCTCTGGGTTTACCATGAACTCAAAGGCAAACTTAGGGGACCCATTAGGCATAGAGGACTCTCTGGAAAGCCAAGATTCAATGGAGTTTTAAGGGCAACCACTTATGAGTTGGTTTTTGCAATTGAGTGTTCCTTTGGGTAGCACTGAGGTCTTCTCCTAGTTCCCTTCACTACTGTGTGTCGGGCTTCATCACCCAGGAGGTGGTAGGTTGAAGTGAGAGGAAGCAGATGCTGTAACAGTGTCAGAAATGGATAACTGATGAGCTGATTGCCTGAGCCATTTTGGGAGCTCAGAAAAGCAACAGGAGAAATCAGTTATTTGAAAGGTCAATAACTCAGAACAGGAGTAACTGCAGGGGACCAGAGATGAATAAAGATATGTGTGACTGAGTGTCATGAGCATCAAAGCCAAGGTGGTCAGAGAGCAGCCAGTGAGGCCAAGAAAGGAATTTGTCTCGTGTTTTTTTCCCCCCTCAATTATTATATTTTATATTGAGATATAATAAGATTTTTCTATTAGATTTCTATAATAAGATTTTTCTGTTTCATTTTTTTCCAGTTTCTTTATTTTATGAATTTCACATTTCTACAAGATTCAAAAGAGCTTTGTAGGTTTCTCTAACAATATCTTACATTTGTTTGGCATGATGACCTTTACAAACTTTTCTCAATGCACTTTCGCATTTGGTACATGTATGCAGAAATAACCTACATCAAGGAAGGTTTTGGGAATTCAGCCCTTTTCTAGGTTATTTAAACCAACTCCATCTCTATTGTCACCTTCACAGTTTAGGAGGTCATTTGATGTCCTGAATTTTTCAATAATGAAGTTAGAGAATATACCTGGAAGCTACATTTAGCCATTAAGTGTTTTTGATCATAAAAGTTTACTTAGCTACCAGTAGTCAAGGCTGTTTTTAATTTCAAGTCTTTTAGAATCTTGAAACTTTTAAAAATCCAGATTGGTTGGCTGTCTATAAACAGATTTAATGTCTTGCTGAGAATTTCTCCTAGTTTTTAAAATATGAAATCTAGGACAATTTTTTTTTTTTTTTTTTTTTTATCAAATCCAGGTTTCCTGGAGTCTTCCCTCTGCAAAAAGCTGTTCTTTCAATTATGGTCAGTTTATTTGCAGTACATCCAGATTTTAGTAGCTGGATAACGTTGTACTTTTCCCACTTGTTATGTTTAGATGGAGGCTTATTATAGTGGGAGAGTTAACATTTGTACATTGTTTGGTTTTTTTTTTGTCATTTTTAGAAAATTTCCAATTCCATTTGCTAATGATAATTCTGTGGTGTCGGTGTGGATATTGTCCTCATTTGACGGAAGGATAATGATTTGCTCAAAGTTACAGGGAAAATAATGGACTGATTTGAATTTGAACCTAGGACTTTTGTCTCCAAATTACAGTTCTTTATACTACAAAAATGAGTAACTCTCTTTGAAAATAGCATTAGAACTTATTTGGGATCTACAACTTATCATATGCTTTATAAACCTTAAAATCACATTTTTTGGGGGGCAGGGTTTTTTTTTGTTTCAGTTTTTGTAACTCTTTTGTAAGTTTTTAAGTAATTTGTATTTTTGAGGTCTTTTGATAGAAGAAAGTAATGCTAAATTTGTGAAGAGTCCTCAAATCCTCTGGTGGCTCCAGTTATTTGGAAACTATTGTGAGTATCCTTAGGAATTTGGGGTTTGCCAGTTGCTAGCAATTCAGAGCAGGCATGGGATTTTATATACTAGTGAGTCATAATGACATGTTAGTGTTAATTAGTTTTTTTCTTCCTTTGATTTTATTGGCCATAATTGCCACTCTTCATACACAGTATATCAAAGAGCTTTGTAATTTAGTTGTCAAATGCGCATCAGTGACATTATCCTAAATGATATGCATTTGGTGTGTTTGCAGGGAGTGAAGTCAGTATTTTCCATTAAAAAATACAGCAGTTTTCCTTGCTTTTTTTTTAATTTGCAGAATATCAAAGATATTCATAATTTAGTTGTCAAAAACATATACATATTTTAATAATACTTTTTCTTGAAAATCTTGGGTTTGCATTTTGGAAATGAATGAACTCCTAAGCTACCCATTCCCTCCATCCTGCTTAAGCCTTACAGCATGTCTCTGCACTAATAAATAGCTAATTTCCATAATCATCCTATTCCCTGGAGCATGCTGATGCTTGTGTGTAGATTCCCCCGGCCCTGTTTCCATTCTTTACTCAACTGGTGGCACTGTAAATACTTTCCGATATTAAATTCCCCTTTTCTAGCATTATAGGGACTATTTTGAATGCATGTGACTAAGAGCATGATTTAAAGCACAACCTTCCTCATAATCCCTTAATCAGATCGCATTTTGATAAACCCCAGGAACATCTGTCCCCAGGAATTTCAATATGTAGAAATTCTGCCTTTAGTTATTTTTGTCCTCTTTGTGGAGATCACAATCTTCTTGACCCTGGTTCTATTTCAAGTTTTATTTTCAACAAAACCCATTGCAAATGCAGTCACACAATCCGGGGAAATCTACTAGACTGAATGGAGCATTCCCTGCCCCTTCCTCCTGCTTTTTAAAATAAGTAGAGACTGGGACTTTAGAAGTGCAATGCATCTACAAGTTGTCCTGCCAACCCACCGGGGTGCCCTGCAGGGACAAGTGATCATAGCTGATGAAGACTGATGGATGGTTGGGGTGAGGTTAAGAAGTGCCCTGGGATTAATAAACATGCACCTGAATGCTGGGGCAGGCGGGAAAGATGTCTTTGTCTTCCAGGTAAACTGGACATTAGTTTTTACTTGAATTTGTTTTCACAAAATACAGATGAAGATGAAGATGGCTTTGGGTTGAAAGCAGGGAACTTGTATTACATCAACCAGAATTTAAATTCTGTACAGCTAGGAGGCAGGATTTGTAGATACCAGTTTTGGCTAGGAGAAACAAGTCATCGTGTAAGTGCACGTGTTTTTTTTGATGACCGTGGTGCGCACCTTCAGTTATTGTATGACAAATGATCTTTTCTTTGCATGTTAAGAGATTTTATGTAAGAGTCGATACTTTATACCTGTTTTGCTTTTTTTTTTCTTTAGGTAGAGTATCTATGTAACTATACCTCAGAATTAATTTTTGGTGACACTTTTCTTTTTTGTGAAATTGTAATTCACTTTGTTTTCATTCAAATATTCCTGTATTCTGTTGAACAGTTTCCAAGAGTCTTCTTATTTCTCCTTTAGAGAAAATTCAGGTCCTAGGACGCAATAGATTTATTGATGAAGAAGACCTGTAAAACTTTTCAAATGAAAGTTCCGATACTTATTTTATATTTTAATATTTCCACTCATTAATGTTATGGTTATTGTTAACAGTTTTTTTGAGTATTTGAAATAAAAGCTTAATATTTGAAATGAGCAGGTGTTGTGATTTGTATTATTATTAGGGTGTTACATATAATGACATTGAGTGCGGGACTTAAAAAATTAACACCTTTATTGTTGAGGGAATTAGAAAAATAAATTTGGCAATCTTCAAAATAGAGGGAAATAGCATAATAATAAAGAGTATGATTTATCCTAATGTAGGATGAGACAATTTGGCTCAGGATACTGAAAGTAAATTGTAAACATTTGATTTTCTTAAACTTCTTTGAGAATCTGATGAAAATATATAGGCTCTTCTCCAGAAAATTCTCACATACTAAATACTTTGGTTAAAACTTTTAGTGTTGACTTGTTCAGGATCACTCAGATTTTAGCGGAAGTAGCTTGAGACAGGTTCTTTTGTCCGGTGGTGGTGGTGGTGATGGTGGTGATGATGATAACAGAAGCTACTTTTATCAGGTTTCTTGTTGTTGTAAGTACTTGGAATGCATTTTTCCATTTGCTCCTTTTGGCCTGGGGACCGCTGTTTTCTTCATGCTACATGAGAGGTCATAGAAATGTATCTCAGCCACAAAATGGCAGAACCACATCCTCACAATCCTCCCTCTGGCTCTGCATCAGTTTGACTTTGTAATATTTGATCATCTCCCCTCTCTGCTGGAGGCTTCCCTGCTTCCTCTCACTGAGGACTGAGATTCAATCTACCTCTCTGCAGCCAGACCAGTTTTTTTTTTTAAGTACTGAAATATGTCTATACTTGCAGGTAAATAAAATAGCCTGTGCCCCAGACCCAGGTACCTCTATGGTACTCCACCCCATTATCCAAGAACCCTAGATCACTCTCATAATGTTAACTCCTGGCAGAGCCGGGGGACTTCTTGATCTGGATTTTTGAATATTTGAATATTACTCCTGCCTGTGAGAATGTGGGTATCTCCTTCCTTTTAAGGACCAGCAGTTAAGTCTGGATCCATCCTGATACTGTTTCTAACTACTTTTGGCTATATTTTTAAACAAATCTGCCTATCTAAACAGGCTGTGTGTGCTGCAAAGGGCCATCATTAGAGATACGGTGGTTAACAACCTGTATAGTTTGGCTCACAAAGAGCTGAGACTAATAAATGCTAGGTGACATACTCTAGAAAGGTATCATGAAAGCCAAGCACTAGATGCAACCAGGAGAATAGGTGCAGTAGGAAGAAAAGTGCAATAGAATCTAAACTGGGGAGCCAGAGAAGCACCTGGGAAGAAGGAACATTTAAGTGGAGACAGGCAGGAGTGGGATGAGGTCAGGTGAGTTACCTGGGGTGATCCACCTGGAGTGGACTTAGTCTTTGGGGAGACTCTGTGGTAGGAGCGCAATCAGAAGTACTCAGAAGTTTCAGGAAGCAGAGGCTTGATCATGCAGAACGCAGTGGATTTCCCCTAGTTGCTCCATGTAGGTGCTTGATGTGGGCAAATGATGTGATCCATGCCATGTTAAAGGGGAGCACAAGCGGAGTGCTTTTGGGAGGTGGGTATTAAGAGTGAAGGAATCCATCCAAGTCTGAGAAAGGTCATGCATGTAAATCTAAGTGATGGGGTAATAATTTTAAGCATTTCTTTTCACTTCAATAATACATTGCTTATGAATTCAGTCTCACTCTCCCAGATGTCTGTGTCCAACCCTGGGCAGGATGAGATGAGGGAGGTTCTTAGCCTTTTCCAGCCACATCTTTTCATGAAGACCTCATTTCTCCCCCTCCCCTCCCTCTTTCTTCTTTTTTTCCTCATCCAAGCTTTTATATAATCCACATTTTCCCTTCCTGATGGAAAAAAACCCATATTTCTGACTTCAAAAAAATGCATCTTGACTTTCTTGGAGGCTGAGATCTGTTTATTTTCATACTCAGGTCAATCAAGATTTAGATAAATACTCAGCCTCACTAGCTATCTTTCCATCTTTCTCTTGAAGAAGTGCATGTTTTTTTTTTTTGGTATGTGGTTCAAGGTCAATGATTTATCCATCTTTTGCATACACACAAAACCTTTCTCTTTTGAGTTATCATTATACACTTTGTGTGGCATTTCAAAAAAAAAATCTAGTCTTCATTTTCTGTTATCTTGGTCACAGCAACACTTCTGTAGAGGTCAACGTAACAAAGAACATTTAGAGATATTTGGCCCAGTTTTGTAGTTTTACCAGTATATTCCAGGTTGAAAAAAGGCTGTTTGTAAATGAATAGCCTGCACCACATTGGCTAGCTAATTGCTTCAAGTGTATTATTTTATGTTCTATAACTCTCCTGTCCTGCCTGGGCTTCTTTGTATTAGGAGGTTACAAGTTTCCTAAAGATGAGGCTCCTGTTTCATGTTTCTTTTGCAGGTCCTATAATACTTCATGCAGATCTTGGAATTTTAATAAATGCTCACTGACACACACTTTAAAGAAAACTCAGAGAGAAACTGATCCATAGATGCAGGGTATCTGTTCCCAAACTGCACACAGTTATCAGCCTTTTAAGAGAAAAACTATTGATAACTTTTCCTTCCTATTCTCACAAATTATGATTTGATTGAATCAGTATTTGTTGGATCAATAGCTGAAGACAGGTAAAAGCTTAGTTCTCTTAGAAATGAGTGCGCTATATCAGATATTCCTGGAAGGAGGAGGTTTGGGAAGATGCGATGTCAGTCATCTATGATAAATTCCTAGTCAAACAGCAATGCTCCGTAGTAGGGCGATGTTTAGGGGTATAGGAGCAATTTGTAATTCCTGTCACTGTGGATCCCAGTGGCTGCCCATTCTATCTAAACTCACTATAATATCCATTCTAATCCTGCTGAACTCTTTTCATAGGAAAGAAAAATGAATTTAACCCAAGATCTCATTTTCTTCTGTGAATTCTGCTGTACTTTTATTTATTTGTTTTTTGGTTTCCAAGTTCTATGTGATATTACAGTCAGAACAAGAATTTATAATCTTTCATTTATTAAAGAATCAGAAAAAAATGAGACTACAACTGCAGAAGTGAGTTCATTTAAGCCTACATATAATGAGCTCAACTCAATCCAATGAGTATGTAATGAGCAACTGTTCTTTCATTAAGGACACAAAGTTAAAAAGGAAACAGTTCCCACTCTCAAATAGAAAAGGCAGACATAAATAAATGCCATAGAAGTCGACAGGTGCCAAAAGAGACAGCTTGGGTAGGAAGTGGAGTGTTCCACTTTGTTAAGGCTGAAGTCTTCCTAGAAAACACCGAGATGGGAGTTATTCACTGGGGGGAGGATTTTCCTTTGGAGGATGTTCAGTGTTGATGGAGAATCAGGTTCAAAGGGGGCGTGGGGGAAGGGAGGATAGGCGAAGAGAATCATGGCATGCCATACTGACGTATCTGGATTTTTCCCTAAAGAAAATGAGGAATCAAAGAAATATCAATTTTTGTTTCCAAATGATGGCTGTGCTCTCAGAAGAGTCAGAGGATTGGAGGGGGACTGGGTGGAGGCAGGAGGATCATTGGGAGGCTGAATAGTGTGAGTGAATGGTAATAAGGGCACTGGCAATGTATTTATAGAGAATGTAGTCTTATTTCTAGTTTAACAAAGACATTACTACTTAGCTTGGTATGGTGGTGCATGCCTGTAATCACAGCGACTTGGGATGTTGAGGCAGGAGGATTGTAAATTTGAGGTCAGCCTCAGCAACTTAATGAGGTCCTAAGCAGCTTAGTGAGACCCTGTCTCCAAAATAAAAGATAAACAAAAAGATTTGGGGATGTTGTTCTGTGGTAAAGTGCCTCTGGGTTAAATCCCCAGCACCCTCACCAAATAAAAGAAAAAGCTATTTATATTTCTCATTAAATATACAGTATTCAGTATATGGGTGAGATGCTCACCACACACATTTTCCTTTTGTGGACACATAACTAGAACCCAGACTACAGAGGGGCCACGTGACTAATTTTTGTTAATGGACTATCAGAGGAAATGATGTCTCACCTCCACAATGAAGTATTTACAAATAGGTATACCTTTTCCATGTTTTCTTTTTCTTTTCTTTGTATCTGAAGTCTTCAGTACACACAATGGAGATAAAGAGAGCAGTCACCTAATAGAAAAAAAAAAGCCTACATCCTTGAGATGCATCCTGGAGGAGAGTCAGCTGCTCAGGAAGACAGCTTGATAAAAACTCGTGCATGAAATTTTTCTTTCTTTTTTTTTTTGTGCATGAAATTTTTCATGAACAAGAAATAAACCTTGACTGTGACAACTTATGGAAGAGTTTGATTTTTTTTCTAGTAGTGTTAATCACCCTGATTAATACTAATTTCCTACTCTTCCCTATGCAGTCAATTAGAGGTTTGTTGATTTCATTTCTGCTCGTATCCTTGGCTTCTTTAGTTGTTTTAATTTATTTTCTTTCTTTTCTGCTAGATACTAGAGGTTAAATAATGAATAAACCCAATAATATCTCTGCTGTGATGGAGTTCAGAGTCTAGAGGAAGAAAAGATAAGTAATAGGTAATTAGTATAACAAGTATAACCAAGCATTCAGTACCTTATGCTAAAGCATAGGACACTTGGGTTACCTTCTATGGGAGACAAATGGAACTCACTGAGACATTTAATTCAGTTCAGCTCAAGAACAATTTGAATACCTCCAACATGATAGGTATTAGGTTAAGCACTCCATATATAGAAATTACAAAGATTTTATTCTAGTCTTCATGGAACTTATAGTTGGTTCAAACTTAGTAATAAGTACTTTTGCTGGTTTAGATGTAACAGCAGAAATCATGACAAGGTGCTGTAGCAGTAGCAAGGAGGGAATGGTGGACAGCGTGGTATAACATTGTGAGATAGTACTTGATTTGTTTTCCTCCTACTTTTTAAATATTGAGTTTGTGTTTCAAAAGTTTGTGCCTCAGGGTTGAATGAAGATATTAGCATTACCATTTGAAGAATATGCCCTCATTCATTCATCATTTATTCATTCAATATTTATCTGGCCACTCAGTTGTATTTGCAGATATTTATAATCCCATAAAATGATCACCTCAGGAAGCCATACACTTATTTTTTGATACTACACTTTCATTGTTGTGTAATTTCTGGACTTAACTTTAGAACCCATCTATGACCCATATCTGAAAACCCATTGTGTTAGCTTGTATTCACATTTTATTTTTTATTTGAAGTGGCAATGTAATACTGAAAGTTACACACTATTAGGCTCTGAATGACATTTGACTGTTTCTAGAAATTAAATTCAGCTCTGAGAGGCAGAGGGACAATTATCAAACATCCTCAATGGCGTGAACTACAGATTCTGAAAGAGATTGAATGTGAACTCCCAAAATATAAGGGACAAAAGCAATGTTGGAATAAGTGTGTTAACTTCTAAAGTGATTCATTTGAATGCATATGGTTATAAGAAGTAGCCTCATTATCTTAAGGTCACATCTGATGGGCTCATTGGTGATGGCTTAAAAAGGGCCTATTTTTATTTGCAGAGCCCTACTGCTTGTTCTACACACACACACACACACACACACACACACACAAACACACAGTTTACTGGTGAGATCTGAGTTTGAGTATAGAACTCAATGAATTCAGAATTGGCTGTCATATCTTGATCTCATCAACTATAAAACAAATATGGGATAATAATTCTTTAATTGTTGAGTCACTGTGGACAGATCAAGATAAGACGATCTATCTGTAAGGATATTTCAGCTTCAATTTATGCTGTTTCCCACAAACAAAAAGAAAATAAATCAAGGTAAAATGATTCTGAAACAATTAAGTTTTTTAATCTTGCCTTTATTTGGGTGACTATAAATGTTAATTATTTGAGTACATCAATAGAAACAGAGAATTTTTATGTTTCATTATTTTTACATAGAGATAGAAATAAGAAATCAAATCAATGGTACAAACAATTGTTCAATGGCAATATTCATCAAGCAACATTACTGAAAGAAAATGAACATGATTTGGTTTATTAAAGTTAATTCCAGTATCTGAGACATGCAAGTATTAACAGAACTTCATCTCCTGTATAGTTCATGTTTGGAAAATATTACCTTAAGAACTGTGGATTCTGAAGAATGATGAATACAAGACTAAAGCTGAAGATCTTAAGATGAGGTTAAATGCTTTTCCAGAAAAATATTCTAGGGGGAAAACATTTGTTTCTAAATTCGTTACCAATTGATGTCTCGAAGAGTCATAATTAACAGTCTTTTTAACTTTATTGAAATTTGGTCAAGTTCTCAGATTTTATAATATTTAAGGAGAGCAAACTCCACAAGTTTACTAGGCACACACTTGCACAGATTTCTTTTTACCGGTTTGCAATCTACTTCCTGTTAACTTCATAAAATGCTTAAAACTTTCATTATTTTGGGAAACAATATTATTATTCTCCATGATATGTATTTGGTGGTCACTTATGAATGTATTCTCATTCCCCTCTTTTCCCAGGATCCTAGTAATAGAGGATTTGTTTTTTTTCTGGTGAATATGCCTTCAAATACATGGTACAATAAGTGCATTTGACACATCATCAATGTATCAAATAACAGGGAGGGAGATCTTTGAAGAAAGTGCGTGCAGATGCTTCAAGGGAATATAACAAATTTGAAATGATTTCTTCCTGCATGTCAGTGAAAATTATAAGACTACCTAAGACATTCTGTTCATGGGCATAATCCAAGGGGCTGCTTAAAGGCGTATGAAGAGCAATAGTGTGGGAAATAATTGATCTAGGTTTTAATTCCCAAATTGATACCTTGCACAAAATAATTAATTTAATCTTTTGTTTATTAGTTTCTTTATTGGTTAAGGATATCTCAACTACTCTCTAGGTTGTTACCAAAAATAATACAAGGAATATAAACATACTTTGATCATCACTATTGTTTTGTGTTTAATATTTCTTGAGTGAAAATATCAGATAAAAATTCTCATTTCAGATATTTTGAGTCAAATATTTTAAAAATTTTTAGGATTTGGAAGAACAGTATTTAGCATTGTGTTAAACCTCTAACAACTCACATAGTCTAAAAGAAAATAAGCATTTTCAATTAAAATTGAAATATTTTTCTCATTGTTAAAATAAATGCAACAAATGTACTTGAATCTTAAAGGTCTCCCCTTCCCCGAAATCTAATCAAACAACCTTCTAAGGAAAGATTTCTTGGCAGGAGTCAAAACTTTCCCAGAACCTTTTTTGCGGAGAGATTTCATTGGAGGCTTTTGTAAGGGTAGGGCTCTTTTAGGAGTTTGTAGAGCTCTTGCAATCTCCACATGCTCATTGCAGTAATACTTACTGCTTCCTTCTGACAGATGGATGAGTGTACGTTCTGCCAGATCCATGCACTGGGCATGGACCCAGTGCCCATCTCCATGAGAACAGTAGATCATGGCAGGTTTGTTGAGCTCAGTTGAATAAAATGGTACCCACGTGTTGATATCCACATTACAAGTAGGACAGCATGTTATCCAGTAGCCTGTCACAGACTCATCTTCCTCGTCATCTTCATTATAGGTGTCAAATTCATCATCACCATCAAAGCTATTTGCTTCTGCACTGAAACAAAATTCTTCTGAATCTTCAAAGGGAGTGGAGTCTCCTGGATCTTCTGTTGATGTCTGACTGTTTGTGAATGTTTTCTGATCTTCATTCACATCATCTTCAGAGCATCTTAACATATAAAAATAGAATGCATCAGAAACAGCCTGTTTATTGTCTCCTGGTATGCCAAGGAAAACTGTCCCGTTTCCCATGTTACTTCCAAACCATATCTTGCTGTGCTTAATATCTGAGGTCCAATCTGGGGTCTCCATCTCACGAATCTCTATCTTGCTATCCTCTAAAGAGATAATGTTGCAGACCATTCTCTTTTGATTTTCAAACTGATAGCCACCAACAATAACGAATTCGTCACTGTTAATTTGAGTCAGAATTGCACTGGAGACAGAGATTCCTCCCGGCAAGACTGTGCAATTCACAGCTGGGCTACCTAAGGGAAGATCAACCTTTATTCTGTACAGGTTGGCAGGGCGGATGTTATTGGCAAGAGAATGTCCTCCTAAGATATAAATGGTATCATTTTTGGCAATAGAGACATGAAAAGACAGCCCATCCTGAAGTTCTGGAAGAATGTATGATGTAGCACATCCAAATTCAAAATCCACCAAGTAAATATGGGGAAGGCAGTCAGTTACACTATTCCATTTTTCTGTGGTTCTTTGGGTGGAAGGCATGTATGAGCGTCCTCCAAAGAGAACACCCATGCTTTTGCCTCGACTATATACCATGTCAATGGAATGACCATATCTGGCTTCAGGAACATCTCCCACCAAGTCTTTCTCTGTGCAGCGGAAAGTAACTTTTTTGTTGTTCTTGCAAACAACAGACATGAAATAAATCTTATCTGAAAGCTCATTGTTTGGTGTTTTCCCTCCGTGAATGATATATTGCCTTTCAGACTCCAAGCTTCCTTTGAATGTGCAGATGGCTGGGTAACGAAGAGGAGGAAGGTAGCAGGAATCCTTAGAGAAAATTGCAGGCTTCAGTTTGAGATGGTTATGCTTTATGTCAAAATGGAAAACTCCAGTAGGGCAGGATCTCTTAGGCCAGCCTTTCTGGCCAAAGAAGAAAATTTGTCCATCAAAATTCATCAGTGAGAAGCCTGGTTGAATTAAGGCTATATTATTACTGATTGTTATCATCTGCAGTGACATTTTCTGATTGTGGGTAGATCTTTTCTCTGAAAGAATTAAAAGATTAAAATGACTTAGAATATCTTTTCATATATATCACTGTTGAGACTCATTCACATGCAAAAAACTTGTTAAAAAACAAAATCCTCTCACAAACTTGGCCTGGAATCCAGTTAGCAAAATTCAAGGAGATAGGTATGGAAAGAGCCACAGAACATTCCTACCGAATTCAAGCCAAGTAGTTGGGACATATTTTAGAGATGGACTCTCCGCCATTGGATTTCTGGGTATTGTAGTTCTTTTTTTTCTTAAAGACTCATTACACGTTAGCCGAAAAAACTACAATTCCCAGGAATCTGCGCTCTATGGGATGTGTGCCTGTAATGATTTGTCTTTGTTTCTTCTGGAGAGTAGACTTTCTAGTATGTCCATCTGAGTAAAGACGCCAAAAGTGCGAAGTGACTAGATGGGAGCCAAGGCGGACAACTGGGGATTGGGAGGTGAGAGTGGTTGGCGCAGACCAAACGTCGGGTTACGGGGGCGCTGCAGCACCGAGGGGTTTCGGGCAAACCGATGTCCCGGAATTGCTGGAGCTTCCCCTGGGGACTCTTAAATAGGTGACCCAGTAGGATGCACCACTGCTTCTGGCCCGCGCGTGGTTGCCTGGAAACGGCAGTCTGAGGGGACGCCTTGGCGGACTCCTGCCCAGACGCGTTGAAGCTCCATTCAGAATTGCGCCCCAACTCAGAATTGCACCCCGGAGGATCCTGGGCTGCTGGGGAAGGGATTGGAGGGGAGCCAAGGTTACAATAGCTGATGACTATCTTACAGAACCGAAAGAGGAGTCTCCGAATACCTCGAATACCTCGAGGGCAGGCGAGAAATTGCTTGAGAATGATTTTACCACTCCTGCATTTAGTAGTGGAAATACTGTAATTAGACCTTTACAAGTGCCCCCCACCCCTTGGGTAATTCACTCCTGTTTTTAGGATTCTTTTAAGGAGGAGGAGAAGGTTCCTAAACACATCTCCCCTTACCCACTCCTAGAAAAATAGAATCACTGTTATTTCAGACCTCTTTTTCAGCTCACGAGCTTTGAGGTAATTCTTTAGTAATTCTGTAGAAAGCAGACACTAAACAAAGAGGTGCAAGAGTTATTCAGGACTTTATATTTTTATTATGGTATTAACGAGATATTTACCAGATGAAGGAAGCTTGACAAATTTTTGTTTTATTATCACCTACCTTAGAGAGATGTGAAATATACTTACTGTTTGCATAGTGAAGTTTTAGGCGCCAAGTGTTAAAGCAAACAGAATAACACAGATTCAATGACTTTTAAGAGTAAGTTGTTAATATACGTAAAGCAGAATAAAACAGTATGGATTTTCAAATGCTGACTGGCTAGATTCAAATCCTAGCTGTCACCAAGTACACGACTTTGGGCAAATTATTTAACTTCTCTGTGCCTCAGTTTCCTTTTCTGTAGAATGAGATAATTTTACGTATCTCATGGGTTGATGTCAATTATAATTAATAATTTAGTAAAACATTGCACATAGTAAATGACAGTTATTATTATGATTATTATCAAACTTATCAAAAGTAAGGTTGTGTGTGCACAATTATCTGCCAGGGATGACAGATGATATTTGTAATGTTGAAGATGGTTAAAAGACTTTGGAAATTTATGATCTGGTCAGTGGATATAGATAAACTTTTGAACTAGTAAGAGTGGGATAAATATATATAATGATGCTGGTGGTGGATTAATTTAAATAGCAGTTGATATTTCATTCTTCTTGTCAGTCTTTTCTCTAGCCCTTCATTAAATATACGGGATCTAGAATTGAATATTCTGAGTCCAAATCTGGTGTTCTAACAGTTAGTTGCTCTGTAACCACAGTGGGCAAATTATTTTTATCTTTCTTTTTATTTGCAAAGTGGGGATTGATACTATAGTTTATTTTAGATTTGATTTATTCTTTTTAGTTATACAGTATACCAGGAAACACCCTGACATTATCACAGAGGTGTGGAACTCAACCTGTGCCAATTCAATCCCCAGCACTTCTCCACCCCCACCCCACCCCCTCTTCCCTCCACTCCACTGATCTCTCTTCAATCCATTTACAATTTACTTTTTTAAAAAAATTAATATCCTGTGGATATCTCTGATGCCAGGATACACTGTGCCACATCCTTGCATACACACATGAAAGACTGTTTTATATTTATTCCCCTTGTAAATGTTCCTTGGGCCATTTAGAATCCATGGTCGCTCTAATGAGATGGTGTTTTTAAAACAAAATTTTTTGTTTTTGCCTTAAGCACTTCTGTAGATCAGATGTCATTAATTGCTGAACATTCTCATGTACTTTAGGATTTTTAGTTTATTTTGGGTATCTCTTAAGGTGTGATCTTTTAATAATAATATTTTGGGTTATTAAACCAACTTTGGAAATGGGGCCTGAGAAGGATTCGTTCCAAAGCTATAAGAGCAAGCCTCTGTGGTCTGAGGACCATGTGGATTTGCAGATTCAGCAACTTCCCCTGCTTATGAAATAACCTGGGAAACTGTTTTATTTATTCATAGCGTATCCACATATACATGAAAGAAAGCATCTAAGAAATTAAAGGGAATTAAAGGAACTTAAAGGAAGCTAAAAGAAATGTTATTGACCCTCAATTCATTAAACGAAAACTGTAGGTACTTAAATACAGCATGAATTATTATTCTCAGAGTTGTCCCATTTTGAGTGGAGGGAGTCCCAAAGCCAAAGTTTGCTTATTTTAAACATCTGTGATGCCGTACAGGGGTAATAAAGTCCAGACCAAAGGAATTTCCCAAAGAACATTTGTTTTTAAACAGCAAGCTTAAAAAATATTTTCATTGTAGCCTGTTGACTTCATCTTAAGGTTTTCATAGGGATTTTGGTTTGTCATAAGTGAAAACATGATTCTTATAGATTAGGTAGAAACATTTTCTTGGGCAAGATGTAAAGAATATTATCCATTTTTGTAGCTTAGTTCAGGGCCCTAAAAAAGTGGTGAAATTTATTGTTATAATGAATTATCTATCTCTTTTTGTAATGCCATTTGTGTATTTAATTTTTAGATTACTCATTTTAATCAGATGATTTCTATATTTAATAAATAAACAAGAACATTGAAAGTGTTTTCACATTTTTTTTTGCCATAGTTTTTGAGATTTTGCTTTACTGATTTATGTTTTCAGTGGAGCAGACCATTGTGTCTCTTCCATGGTTTTAATATGAGTATATTAGTTACATCTTAGTTTTTAAAAAGCGTTTTTAAAAGATTATAATAGACCTAAAATAACCTACTGAAAGGTTTCTCTTTAAATAGACTAAACTAAAACAGGCAGATTAAAAAAAAAAAGAGGCTTTTCTTCAACTGAGGGGAATTTCAAAGTCAACACATTAAAGATTCTTTTTAAAAGACAGAAATATAGGGCCAATACACACACAGTCTTCCCAGCCTCATGCTAACAGTCCGCAGCAGGGAGATTTTCATTTATTCACTTTGAAGGCAGGGCATAGTTGAGTATCAAAAGAGGTCTAATGGTGTGAGGTCTGGGCTTGTAGTTCTTGTGTCTGAACTAACTTATTTTTCTTTCCAAAGAAAGACAGTGTACTCTGAAGCATTAAATCTTATTGCTCAGTACGGGCCATGTTTCCTGATTGCTCCAAAAGCAAGTAACCCCATGTAACTGCAGGTATTTAGTGCATAAATTAAAACTGTTTTACACGGTTAATCAGGTTTGAGGCATATATTATTTGATTTTTGCTGGCAGTAAAACCATGATTAGGTCTTTTTTCCCACACTTCTGCCAGCAAAGCATTTTTGCACTAAGATTAATAATGTGCTCTGAAGGCATAGAAGTTAAATCCTCATAGCAACCTGAGAATAGGAAGCCCCACATTTTCCAAATTTACTCCTTCCTCATCTAGACACACCATCCACCTGTAGTTACTATACTCTGAAGTAGGGCACCTGCCTTCCCATAATATCGGTTCCCATCTTTTAGCTTGGGGAGAAATGAAAACATTGGACCTACCTGAAGGCCAGAGGGGCTGCTCACCCCTCTCTGAATCTCTGTTGCTAAAGCAGTATTAGGAAGATTCACTACTGCCTACTATGCCTGCGGTAAGCAGAAGCTGAAGTAAAGAGGGTGCTTATGTGCCTACAGATGTTCTAATGAACTCGGATCTAACAGGAGTAACTGACTGTGACTTTTTCTCTTTGATGGTTGAGGGAGATAACCACCAGGGTGTACCCTCCAGATTTAACTATTTCATTACTAGTTACAATGGAAACACAATTCCCTATTCATTTGTAGGAAAAAAAGCATAGATGAAACCCAGTTTATTAAAATTAAAAAAACATTTTAGTAAACAGAAAAAATGAATGCAATTATTCTGGTTTAAATAAATACTCTTGTGAATCCAATGGGATGTTGCCTGCCCCGAAGCAAAGACCAAAAGTGCCAATTGTAGTTATTTGATCTTTTCATTGCTCTTCTGTGGTCTCCTTTCTTTAGTGCAGGCGCAGAAGGAAGGAGTTCTAATTGTTGGAGGGCCTCTTCTCACTCAAGCAGCTGCTGTGTAGTGTTGTACAAGATAATGTTTCTGAGAATGAGGTGTGGTGTCAAGTTGACCTGGTTTTCTCTGCCTGCTCTGCCATTTCTCAGGTGGCGTCATATTAACCCTCAAGCCTGTTTCTCCATCTCTGAAATAGAGATAACAGAAATATTGACCTCAAATGGTTGCTGGGAAAAGATTAAATGAGATAATATATGTAAAGCCCTCAGTGAAGGGAAATGTTAAGATTCCACAGTGATCTTGTAAACTGCCTTTATACTTTTTAAAAGTTGCATAGAATTTCATTCAGTTAATGAAACATGATGACCTCACCATCCACTGGTTAGGTGGTTGGTCATTTGGTTTCCATGTGGCTTAGATGATATAAGGTAGTGATAAGAGGTGGGTGAATCTGGCTTTGAGTTTCAGTGGTTACACTTGCTAATTGAGGGATATTTTTGAGCCTTGGTTTTATTTCTAAAATGGGAATGATACTTTTCTTATTGTAAGGATTCATGGATATTAAATGTCTGGTATATACAGTGTACACAGTAACCACAGTGAATCTTGCCCAGTGATGATGGGGCTATAGATATATTTGTATATGTTACTACCATATATTTTTGAAAATATTAAGATACATTTTCAGGGGTGACTTTTCTTTCTTTTTCTTTTTCTTTTTTTTAAATAGAAGTGCAGTTCAATTGTTTGGTTGATTTTTATCATTTGAAATGTTGGTCCATCATTTATAAAAGCATCATCACCTCCTCTAATTATTTCCATGATTTTTGTTTGCAAAAGGATATTTGGTTGTTTCTGTTACTTATTAGTGGTATTACATAATGATTATGATGCTTGAAATTACAGAATCAATAGCAGTGATATATCTATAGTAAATACAATTAGAAATCATGGGTAGGTTCGTGTTTTTAGCTTTTGTATTTTATTACAATAAGAAAACCTGGGAATTTGTAGTGTAGCAGTAAGTTGCTTAGTTGTCTCCTGAGGAAACTGGAGGTTAGTACATTTGTCCTCCCTTATCCATGATTTCATTTTCCTCGTGCTATGGTTTGGATATGGAGTGTCCCCCCCAAAGCTCCTGTGCAGGAATGTTTGGAGGTGAAATAACTGGATTGAGAGAGCTGTGACCTAATCAGTCCATCCTAGTTTGAATGAACTAGATGGTAACTATAGTCAGGTGGGACATGGCTGGAGGAGGTGTGTCACTGGGTGTGTGCCCTGGAACGGCACATCTTCCTTGTGGTCCCCCTC